TTTTTCATTAACTAATCTTTTCATTGAAAAATATAGCAAGAGCACGAGCCACACCTTTCTTTAATTTATATTCAAATAGCGCGTAATTATTAACCCCTCCCCCCAATCCTGAAATTCATTTCACCTCTCTGGGTGATGTTTGATGGCATTTTGATCCAACTGAGCATATACTTCGGCAACGATCCTTCTCTATCCTTAATCTCAAATATACGATCTAAAATCTACCTTACGCAAGGGTTAATTGATGAGTTCTGCAGAGGTTTATTGATTGTTACTGTTTAAAATCAATCGCCACTTTTTATATATATTTCATTTGAAAAAGAGGTAAGTAATAATGAATCAATTTACTTAGCCCTCGTTATTAATATTTTTAATGATCATGTAAATTTGGATTAATTTCTCTTACCTGTATCTGAAAGTAATCACCTGATTAAATCTAATCTTCACTTCAAGAAATGTAAAATGCGAATTATAACTCAGGCAACTGGTCGTGATTAGGATAATGATAGGGAAGTAGTTTATATTTATATATTTGTTTTCTTTTGGAGTAATTGATTGTAAAGTCAATATTAGACAGGCAGTTCCTAGCAATTCCATTCTCTTAAGCGCTTCTGGCAAACGTGTTTACATTACTTCCCCATTGTAACATATTGGGATGATTCAATCTCAGAAGTAAGCCAACACTCATTAGCACTTAAGGATCTCCTCGACGACCATTATCTTCCCAAACTATAATCCAGATACCACACTGGACCAGAGTCGTTTATTTTCTTTGTGTCGGAGTTTACAATTCGGCAAACACCCCAGACGGCAGTGGTGTGAATTGATGTTCATTTAACCGTGGGGAAAAGTAGCGACACGCCCGAATCATCACCCCTGCTGCCTACTTTGCCAGCCGGTGCTTCCGTGACCTTTTTGATCCAGTCCTCCCTCCAACTATCTCTCCCCAAGCTATTTGATTCATGTTTCGCCCTCTCGCCATCGCATCCTCCCTAACCTCCCCTCCCCTCCCATCCCATCCCTACGCCCCCCCCCATCTACGCCGATAAATTCACCTTGAAAATATTTGTGCAGTGTGATCATGACGTCTGGACAAAGGGAAGGAATATCAGTTATTGAAAAAAAACAATAGAGATATTTAAATGATTCAAGGTTTAATTAAAATTTTACTGATTACTTATCGGTTAACTTTTGTTATTTCACTTTATTTAAATCCTTTTAATGATTTACAAATTGTTGCACAAATGGCATGTGCGTATTCTAAAATGAAGAATTAGTTGTTGAAGATTATTTACTTATTTTATTTGTAAAAAAGACTCTAGGTAAGGCCTGAAATCTGAACATCTGCTGAATGAAGAACAAGGGTATTTTGGAAAGTTGGTGAACCTAAATCTCGTTATCACAGTGGACATTAAGGTTGCGATCAAAAACCTGCAAAGGCATTCCGACTAGGACAGCGATTTGGAATCATAATTTGTCTAGAAATACAGCACTAATTACCAAGCACCTGCTTATGCGTCTTATGTTTTATTCGAGACATATATAGCTAGGTTCACAAGAAGGCTCACATTCCTTTGGTGTCATTTTAAGCAAAACAAACTTCGTTTTTGAGTAAAGAAAAACAATTCCAAATCACGGAGAAAAATCCCCAGTGGATAAATTGAAGGCAATCTTCCAGGATATTCGCCGTTATTCATGTTATTTAACATTAGATATCGTTTGGAGAGAAGAATCAATAGTTTTTAAACACTGTGTGCTCTTTGCATATTTGTTACTTTTTATTCAAAAATATTTCCATTAGGCAAAAGTTTCTGTTGTTCACTCAATATAATTGAATAAAATTATGTTAACAATGTTTCTCCAGTATTGAAATCACCTTCCACAGGAGCCTTATTTGGATATCTTCCAGATGAAAGGGATGCCTGAACCTGATAGGGTCATAGCTATCCATGAGGAAGTATAGAGGGGATATCTTCGTTTTTCATGAGGTTTCAGATTATAATTAAGTAGAAATATTTTATATATTAATTATGTACGGTAGATAATTTCAAACTTTTGAATTTAAAATGGTATCGTATTTGTAGAACCACGATTCTCATAGTCCACTCACACGATTATCTCTATTTTTGGGCTGGGTGATTTGAATATGGTTACCTCTACCCCCCCTCCCCCCCCCCCCTCCCCTCCATTTTTTGTCACATACCACAATTATTTATTGAGATAGATGGAACTCACAGTGCACTGTGAATAGCGAAAACTTAATATCAAAGGTGCCAAATAAGCGGAAAATAATAACTAACCAAATAGTTATGTGCAATAAAATGGTAGGTTTCTGAATGCAAAATTTTAATTATTGAACTTTCAATATTGCTTTCAAGGAATGAGCGATAGACTTACCTCCACGTTGTGCATCCTGGGTAACGTATACTCATACG